GCTCAGGTTGCCCTGAGAAGCTGTGGCTGCCCCCTCCCTGGCAGGGCTCAAGGCCAGGTTGGATGGAGCTCTGAGCAACCTGGTCTGGTGGAAGATGTCCCTGCTGATGGCAGGGGGGTTGGAACCAGATGATTGTTAAGGTCCCTTCCAACCCTTACCAGTCTATGATTCTATGATTATGTGAATGCTGCAGTTCAGGAAAAGCCTCAAGTGAAGAACCCCTTTATGCACAGGTATACACATAATTTCATCTATCCAGGAAAGACTACTGAAGTAACGCACACCATGCAGCATCTAGCGCAATGAACCTGCAACATCCTTGTATCACTGTGGTTCTTTCATAATAGTGGTGTGGAGCCTACTGTAACAAGAGCCTGGAAAGCAGAGATGATAACCTTGCATATGAAGCTCAGAATTTCGTTACAGGGACATCATTTCAGCCAGAAAACAAATGTATCTGGAGTACGACCTGACCTGGAGCTTGCACCACCAGCAAGCGTAACAGTTTGTGTAGCTGAAGTGGCAAGCAACCGGGATGCTTTATCAATAAAGTCACTCCCCCTGTTCAAAAGGACGGCTGGATACCCCACCCCCGTAACGCCCCACTGCTACATCTAGGCTAACCTGGGCAGGTCTAGAGCCTGACATGCAAAACCCAACCGTACACATGATTCGGGTTAGGAGAGAAAAGTCCCTGAAAAAGAAGCAGGTTAAAGACAGGTAAAAACAGCTTGCCCACGAAGAACTTCTGTTGCTATTAAATACTATCTCGTAATCCAATTAAGAAGAATGATACGATGAAATACAACTCTGTCTTCATAGTATTTTGTATGTCAATAAAAACCCATAAAAGCATCTGGCGTTTAGCCTTAGGACAGCACATACACATTCTGTCAAAAGTAGTTACGCACAGCTGTGTGTGTCCTCAAGGGGAACTCTGACAGCCCCGCTTGGTGGATGCAGACTACGCTGTAGACCTCATCCAGCTCTAGAAGAGGAGGGGAGGGGAAGGGAGGAGAGATATACCATATTTTGCTGTCCAGCTTAGCCAAAAAAACAGGAAAGGGAAAGTTTGCTGGCAGCCTGGGCTCCTGGGACGTGCCAAGTTCGACAAACCATCTCTCGGCAGGAATTAGTGAGTAACCTCTGCAGACGTGTTTCAAAGGAGATGAAACTAGATGATGGTAATGGCCTTCCCAGCATTACTTTATCAAAGCTTAATGGGTCGTGGCTCCTCCCAGCAGTAAGCCAAACCACACAGGTCTTCCTTCCTCCTGATTCACTTACTGTGAATTCTCCCGTGACTGCATCAAACCCCACATGAATCGTGTGTTCGAAGTCGGAAGGGAGGGAGATCTCCGGCCGCTCTTTCTCTTTCTTTTTATTGGCTGGAAGAGACAATAACAACAACAAAAAATCCATAAAGCCATCAAGAGCTAAACTCTCCCCAATAGCTTCCAATTTACCCACCCAACCACCGCCCCCTTTTGCTAGGATTTCAACCTGGGGCAGACAAACAGCAAGCTTAAAAACTTTGTTAGCTCACTTCACGGCAGCCACAGTGAGCGGACAACAAAAATCAAAGCCCTCTAACACCGGAGAAGAGTACGACAGGGAAACTGATATTTTGGGTGTGTCAGGTATCAATTGCCAGGGCTACACTCCATAGCACAAGAGCTATCTACCGAAAATCTTCACCCAGAATTCTACAGGTCAGAGTCAAAAGCACGACAGCGGCAGCAGGTTGGAGCCATGCAGTTCTGAACACATTTTTTTATTCGTTGTTTTAAGCAACTTTGAAATAAAATATTACGTGCTGTTAAATATACACTCACCCTTCATGTTTAGACAGGGATAAAATTAACCACAGATACTGCTTAAAAAGTGCTTCGTCCTACATCCTCAAAACAGAGTTTATAATGAAAATCAAATGTAAGACGTGTGCTTCTGCTACGAAATCCTATATGAGCAAACCCATTTATATTTTGCTGCTCACAAAATGAACGAAACATGGTTTTAATAACAAGCCTTGAAGCAGCAGAGCAAGAGGGCAGAATCTGGCAGGTGAGGAGCAGAAGTCACGAAGAAACAGGAAAGGAAATAAATCAAAGCAGATGCACCCTGCAAAATTTCAAGTCAGGTCTTCAAACAAGATTATCATTATGTCTTGGAAGGAGTTCATCCATATTCATGACATATTAAGGACCCTACCTTCCTTCTAACATTTACTGTATTCAAGAAATTTAGATCAGTTCAAGGAAGAACCGTGTTCTGCTCGGATTTGCTGCTGCTTGCAGTTATAGAATAAGCAGAGCCAGGAGAAGGTGACTAAACCACTCCTGTTTCCCGGCTGCTACCTTCTGCATCTCAAGCCAGACAGAATTGGCTTCGTGGCTGACATTCCCCCGTGCATTTTTTGGCAACACGAATGCAAACCCCAGGTATTTCAGAAACCTCTGAAGCTGATGCTCAACACTGCATGTGGTTCGTTGTACAGAGATGGTCAGAGCTTGTCTCAAAGGACAGAATCCTGTTCCCTTCAGCGCCAGCCCCGGCACTGTTCTCCACAGAGATGGTCAGAGCTTGTCTCAAAGGACGGAATCCTGTTCCCTTCAGCACCAGCCCCGGCACTGTTCTCCGCGTCATTACAGAGTTACTGTCGCAGAGAGTAATTTCGGAGAAAGAAAAGGATCAGATGCTCCATTTGGGACACGCAGATGGAACAGATTGGTTTCGATACCTCGTTCAAACAAAGGGGATGGGGGAAGCTGAATCGCAGAAGAGCGACAGAGCTGCCAAAGGGACAGAGGAGGGAAAGCTGCAGTGCTGGAGGAGCCATCACAGAGGGGGAAGCTAGGAGGAGACAGAGGCAGCTGCTGGTTAGCAGATGGTGAGCATCTGCAGCACAGAGGCCTGCCAAAAAAGGAACAGGCAGCTGCATCCAGCAGCTATGCAGAAAAGCTGAGTGCACGGGAAAGGGATGGAAAGCAAAAGAGATGCAGAGAGTGCCATCAGAGGCACCTGTCCACAGGACCAGGCCATTTCTCCAAGCCAAAGAATAAGGTGCCAGCCCAGCCTAGAAGCCCATCACTCAGGTGAGGAAGAAGAGGGCACCTGTTCCAGCACCAGGATGCAGGAGTGCTGCACGAGTGACGCGCAGCCACACACGGTCCAGGACGACTGCCACAGTAGATCTGAATGTACCCCTAAAAAAGCTAAGGAGTATAAAGTTGCTCTCTAGAAGTCAATACATGTAAGTGGGTTCGAGGGAGGTTCTCCTTCCCCTCTACTCTGCCCTGGGGAGGTCCCATCTGGAGTACTGTGTCCAGTTCTGGGCTCCCCACTTCAAGAAAGAGAGGAGCTACTGGAGAGAGTCCAGCAGAGGGCTACCAGGATGGTGAGGGGACTGGAGCATCTCTCCTACGAGGAGAGGCTGAGGGAGCTGGGCATGTTCAGCCTGAAGATGAGAAGGCTGCGAGGGGGAACCTTATGAATGCTTATAAATATCTTCAGGGAGGCGGCCCAGGGGGGCTGTGGAGTCTCCTCTGGAGATATTCAAGACCCGCTTGGATGCGGTCCTGTGCAGCCTGCTCTGGGTGACCCTGTTTCAGCAGGGGGTTGGACTAGATGACCCACAGAGGTCCCTTCCAAACCCAACCATTCTGTGATTCTTTTTATTTCCACACTCAGACAGCCTGAGCTCCCTGCTGCACACCCGAATCCCCACAAACTTCTCTGCGACCAACCGTTCAACCAGCAAACCGAAACGACTGCTGACCGCTCACTCTTCCACAGCAGAAGACGATGGCCCGAGTGAGCCTCAGCTACACAGAGCAGTAAAAACAGTTCTGGAAGGATCGATAAAATAACGTAACGTCCTCTGTCACCTCAACACTCCAGCTCCCTGTTCACGTTCGGCACAGAGGCAGAGAGTTCCAGTATGGCTATGCTGCAACGTAGAAATACGGAGAGATTTTTCCACACTTATGACTTACGTTGTTTTCATAACCCTGAAGCAGTTAATGTCCTCCCAACTCTCTTAGTTTCCTGCAACCATTTCCTGCAGCATCTCAACCCTTTGCATTTTCCCTGACTCTCAACAGCTGGTTGGGACAGCTACCATAAACTCACTTTGCCTTAGCAATAATGTGACAGCAGGTGAAACCATAATTTCCCTGTACACTTTTTAAAATCCGCCTGCCTGCCACACTCCAGGTTTCACAGTGCCCAGACTGAATCCATCATCATGTGAGTGCACGCGAAGCTGGCACATGAATTCAGAGATTTTCCTCCAGCAGTCTCAGAGGACAATGAACTTCAGAAGCTTTTGATCCCAAATCTGACAGATCTAAAAGCCTAGGTATATTAAACCATTAATAACATAATTGCTTTTTGTAGCAGATATTTATGTCATGGCAGGAGGTATAAGACAAAAAGAATCAGACAGGCACTCCCAATCTTGCTAAACATTTAATCCCCCTCTACAGAGATCACATTATCCTTGCAATGAGTCAAAACGCCTTGAAGAATCTCAAATTTAAAAAAATAAAAGAAGATAAATCATATACATGACTATGAAGGCCTACCTACCACCAAGTGCTGTATTCCCACAAACACCTTACCACCTTTCTCATTCAAAACCTCACGCGTTTGATGGTGTTACAAGAGCCACCCATAAAGTTTCCTTACAATGCTCTGGCAACTTGAGCTGCAACCAGGAAGCATGATGTCTCACCATGAAGTAAGCCTGGGAGCCTGCCTGAAGCATACCGAGATGAGAAAGGTCTTCTCCACAGTTGAGGTTGAGGAAAGCGCTCCCCCCGTCAGCATGGAAAGGGTTCTGAGGTGCTGCAAACTGTGGGCAAAGCTGCAGCTGAGCTCAGCAAAGCTCAGAGGACCTAAATGTGCCACGTTCAAGCCAAATTCATGCCCTCAGCAAGGACACTGATGAGCCCTGAGCCCAAGAAACTTCAGGTGTTCACAACTCCTGTTGAAAGCAACAAGTCATGCAAGCTCTGCATCCATTTGGACAGGAGCAGTATTAAGCCAACGGGTTGTTTAAATACCAGTTTTGGGTTTAGGCTGGGAGAGAGGAAATCAGGACTATAAATTACTAAATCATGAAATTTTGCAGGCAGAGCATGGCACCTCCAGAGCAGCCTGGCAAGAGGACATAGCTCAATGGAAGTGTGCAAACACTTACGAGGCCCAGGATTTAAGCCTCGTGTGTCCTTCACACCACAGTTCCATACGTGCACATGGGTAGCGCAATGGAAAAGACCTTCAGCTAGAACTGCCCTTCTTGACCCAGCGACCCGCAAAAGATGCCCTCGAGATGTCCCCCGTTGCTGGCCATCCCTCTGACCTGGACCTGCAAGCTCTCACCAGGTCTGTCGCCTGCTCCACAGCAGGACTCCAAGTGTCTGAGCTGCACCTTTGCACAAAGCACAACCCCTTCACCATCTTTCCCACCTATCCCTCATAAAGTGCCTGCTCCAGTACTGTTCCCCACCCAGAAAAAAGGGCTGTTTTCTCCGAAGCGCTTGACAGCATCAATTTCAGCAGCTCTCAGGCTACAGCATAAAAGCCTATGCCTGTGTACACTAGCAAAATTGACCCCCAAGCATTTCAGATCTTCGCAGGCTCTTTGCAACCCCAGCAGAGGTCACGGATTTCCCCAAAATTATATTCCTCCAACTGAACGGAAACCAGTTCCCCTGTTGGTTCAACCAAACCAACAAATCACACCCAAATTATTTTGAGCACCAACCAAAGAGAGGTGTCTGAACTCCTGGGAAATTCATTCGTGTTTCGGCAGCAGTAGGCACTGGGAATTTTGTTATCGTCACGTGGCAGAAGAAGTTTTCATAACGCGAAAATCAACCAATCTGAAGCGAAGGTGACAGTGTTGAAGACACTTTCTGCTCAACAGGAATTAGAGGACAGAAGCAGCCATTCTCGTTCGGGCAGGTGTACTGCAACAGAAGGCTCTGCTGGGCTTGGCTAAACAAAACCCTCTCGCGTCTCGAAGCATCTGCCGCGTTGGCCACTCTTCAGCAAGCGCAGGCATCTTCAGATCAGCGGCAGCCTGTCTGCTGCTTGCACCCGCACCCATCCCTTTTGCAGCTCTCCTTTAAAACCCACTTCAAACTAGCATTTCGGGTTGTATTTCTTTCACTCTCTTTTAAATTTCAGGCGATTTCTTTGTTCTCTGCAACTGCCGAGCCCAGAGATTTTAAAAACCCCTCTCCTTTAAGTAAGCCGACACAAAAATCCTGCAGCTCTTTAGGATTAAAACTCATAGTGGCAAGTTCTAACCGAGCTCTGGCAAACTTTTAGCACGGAGTTCACGGGTGCCGGGGTTGCAGAATCAAAAATCTGTGTTTGTAAAGCAATCCAAAGCTGCCGAAGGTGTCACGTAATAATAATAATGAATGCTGCAATATTTTGTAGAAAATGAACCTAGAACTCGCTTATTTAAATTAGTGAAACTATCACTCCAATTAGTCTTTTCACTAACAAAAATTAAGCAGGCAGCCTCCCTTCTGAAGCCCAGGAAGCTGAAGGTACCCAGGCCTGACTTTCGTTACCCAGCATCCAGATACTGCGGCAATGCAGGCTCTATGAGAAGCTGCTGTATTAGAAAGAGGAACTCCAAGAAATAGGTCAGATATAAAAAGAAACCAGCACATATTAGGAGATGGGGATTTTTTTTTTCTTACATCACTTCGAAAGATTCATGATAGAGCGCTTTTTAAAATATCCTCATCTTAACAATAAGAATTTCATGTACAGTTCACAGTTCCTATCTTCAGTTCCATCTGTTACAGTTCCTATCACAGGAGAAAATTCCTTCAGTTTACAAGAAATGCGCCAGAACTTGCAGTAGTGGATTACTCTCAACAGCAAGTAGACATTGCCTGACCCAAGCACTGCAACAGAATAACTGACCGTACAGTAACATATGACAGGCCCTGCAGGAGATGGCCTGTTTGTCCTGCTTAACTCCAATTATTTGCTGTTGAAAACAACAAACAAGCAGAAGACCTCACCCCTCTTCCCACCAGAGGAATTGCCAGTGCCAGCTTTAAATGGTCAGCTTCTAATGGGCACAAAAAGTGATGTTTTTCAAGACGACTACAGACAAGTCAGGCTGGGAAGTGGCAGAGCCAGCCCCAGTATTCGGGGACACTGTTCTCATTAATTTAAGGGGAAGGAAAAAAAAAAGGGGAAAAAAAAAAAAGCACAAACCAGAGCAAGTGGGATGGATTAATCATTAGAAAAACTAGTTCCAACAGCCAGCACCTTATGAACGCCAAAATGACCAAGACAGTCGCACAGAAAACAAACACACAGTTTTTTTTCTAAAACCTAAATGATTACTAAGCATCGGGTGCTGAACTACGGTCATTCAGAGCAACAGTCAGACAGGGGGTTTATGAGCAGAGGCAAAATACTGTACTTTTATCTCCTGGTAAAATAGAGCGGTAAAACCGGTCCTTCCTTTTCTTCTCTTCTGGGTTGGGAGGCAAAGGTTTTGAGCCATGGTTCAAAGTTCCAGCGTCTTTGCTTCCCGATCCAATCATAGTGCTGGTATTCCGCATCGGGGGAGCAGGCGGTTTGTCTTCCATTTCAACTCCATTGCTCGACATCTTCAGCTGGGGAGGCCGTTACTGGGAATAGGAAAAAGAAATCAGAAGCCTTAGTTATTGGTTGTAAGCGGGAATCACACACTGCCACATAAACCACACGCAGGTATTTGTAGACTAGGTTGTAACCTCATGCCAACACAGGCCACGTGTCAATGTGACAAAATCTACTCAAGCTCCACATTTTTTCTGTTAACCAGACTATGTTGAAGAGTTTGAGTTATTGATCCTCACAAAAAGCTGATTTCAGGATACAGCCAAGTCTCAAGCAAACCTAATATATATTACATGGGGACCTAATATATACTTACAAATATCTTCAGGGTGGGTGTCAGGACGATGGGGCCAAGCTCTTTTCAGTAGTGCCCAGCAACAGGACAAGGGGCAACGGGCACAAACTGAAGCAGAGGAAGTTCCAGCTGAACATGAGGAAGAACTTCTTCCCTCTGAGGGTGACGGAGCACTGGAACAGGCTGCCCAGGGAGGTTGTAGAGTCTCCTTCTCTGGAGATATTC